CCCCGCCGGAGAACCCAATTTCAGAATAAGGGACAAATACCATCAGCTTTAAGAAAGACTGTGCTGCATTTCCTGGTCTCCCTCATCATCGTGGATAAGTGAAAAGTAGGAAGATGACCACTAGTCCAAGACATACATATACATACACATACAGGGGTGGGGAAAAGTAGTGTAATAGTTATGAGTCCGTGAAATAGTTTATTTTTGTATTATTAATTATTGGGTTATTTTCCATACAATCTAAGACTACTTTTGCCCACCCTGGTATTATGAGTGCCACTGGTGTAGGTTTTGGGTAAGAGGTTAAAGCACAGTTTCCTAAACTGTGCTCTATGTAAAATGTTAGTTTCCTAAGATTCAATTTTTAAAAAAGGGTTCCCTGGTCTCAGTTTAATTTGGAAGTATTTTCACCTCAGAATAGAAGCTTTCCAAGAAAGCTGCTATTTTCCATACAATGTAAGCCTACAATATGACCCTAGTGTCTGCATTAGGTACATAACTACTTAGCATTTCTAAGTGGATGAAGGTCTGGTCCATCCCTAGTCTCATTTTTCTTCCTGTTTTGTGAGGGAAGGATCCAGACCAAGGGAAGGTTGACTGTAGAACCAACCCTACCACTTAAAAGACTTCACTTTGGGACAGACTCCCTAAATTCACTCACCAAATTAGAGTTCAAAGTAACAGTGCTTTGTACTTAACAGAAATGCAGTCAAGATACTGAATTTAAAAAGGCATTTGGAATTTTTATAGAAATTCTACACTTACAGGAAAAAAGTTCATTTGCTAGTTCTCTGAAGCAAGGTTAGGCCTAAGATAAAATGGCACAAATATGCCAATTTAGGATATTTTCCCCCCTCAAGATAAGAAACATTTAGGAAAGAACACTGGAAACAGCCACACCGCCTGCCTTCCACACAAACATCAGGCATTTTAGAAAGTCTAGAGCTTGCTTGTGGAGGAGAGACTGTTCCAGGACACGACCTCTGCTGGCCCACAAGCTAGATCCAGGCCTGTACAGAGACCACTTCCTGCAAATCCCTCAGACTGTCTTACCGACCCCTCCCAGGGCTCCACAGCTTGCTGGTCCTGGGACAGGCCCTAGCAAACACATAAGACATTTCCCCTTTATCTGGAGAGGTCACACCAGTCCCCCCCATCCACCCTGCCATGTTCTATGTAATTCTTTGGGGCCCACCATGTGGCGCAAAGGGTGCCCACGGTCTTGCCACCACCCAAGACGTGCTTCGTATGTGAGTTCCCTTAATAAACTTGACATTCAATACTGAAGTTGTCAAGCCTCTTTTCTGGGTCTCAGCCCGGGGAGATTTTACGCACATTACCCACAGTTGTAACATGCATACGTGTGCGCAGGGAAGTTCTGATAAAATCTAAGACTCCCATAATGAACTGCTGTACATTTTAGGTGATTATGCCTGTGACTCAAGGAAGGTCTTGTTTGGTGCTGGCAGATGAACCATGATGACACAGTGAAATTCCCTGACACCTGTCCTACAGAACCTGGCATTGACTGCTGACTGATGAAGAGGGAAGGCCAGGACTCAGGTTTTAAGTTAGACTCAAGAGTAGTGGCCCTCACTTTTCCCTCAACCCCAGGTGACAATCTTGTGGAGGAGACGCGCGCTGCCACGGAGTTCTCCCAGTGAGTTAAACAACAGACAAAGGCAGGGCGGGAGGTGTGGGTGCCAGGGGAGGATGAGAGTTGCCAGGTCACTGACCGTCTACCAGGCACGTATCACAAGTGTCATCAAAACCAGTACTCACGTAGTATTCAGCAGAACTGACGGGACTTCCAGCCCTGAGAAGTAGCCTCGGAGGGAGGGATCCAGCGCATCTGGAAGAGATGTGGGGAGAAGGCTGTGAACCAGGGCTCCTAGCTGCCGCTCTCACTGCTCAAAGAGCACCCTGCTGGGCTCCACCCCCTTCACTGTTCAAGGAGGTGCCCACTCATACCTGCCCAAAGGCACTTCTCCCCCAGGGGCTGAAAAGCATCAGAGCAGTGTCCCAAGAAACCTTCCTCACTCCTTTGTGAATGCAGAGGCTGAGCTCGTGGGAAAACACCCACCTCAAGGAGCCTCGATCCCCCTCCTTTCAGAATAAATAGCGTGGCAAGGCTGAAGCCTGGTGACCCCCCCTTTCTGCACTCACTCAGCAACCCCAGGCTGGAGGACAGGCTGCCTAAGGGTTTTCCCAGCTGCATGTGGACACATGGATCTGCTCGGATGAGGAAGGGACAGGTCGTGACACCACCTGTGCCAATGGTCTGGGCAGGACTGGAGATTCTGTTGTTCTTTCAGAAAAAGGGCCTGGCTTCTTGGCATTATGGGGTGTCTGGTACCCTCTGCTCAGAGGGACCCATAGCCCCAGCTCTCCCATTAGGTTTCCAAAGAGGAAGGCCAGCCCCAAACACAAATAGACCAAGTGATGCTTCGTCCACTTGGCAGAATGTTCCTGGTCTTCTACTGAGGAAAATGTTAAAAAACAAACAAAAGGGCAGTGTACTTTGGCTTTAACAAACGTCCGTCTATTGGCAATGTCAGGTTTGTTCCTAAGCCTTTGGACAGAGGCAAGAGGAGCCCGTTCATGGCGCTCCTCTGCTTACACTGAGGAGGGGTGGCTGTCCATCACCCCGAAGAGCAACGGGGAGCACTGCTGGGAGCAGGGGAGGCAGAGCCAATTACAACGCGGGGTGGGGGCTGCAAAGAGGGCTGGGTGCCCCTTGGAGGTGGCACTCTCCAACATGGCAGGAGAAAGATCGCTTTTACCTGGGTTTGACCTAAACCATTTTACCTGAAAATGTTTCCGGAGTAGAATGTGCTGCTGGGAGGAATTTAACCCTAACAGAGCTACTCCAGTGGTTTAAAAAAATACATTTTGCAGCAGACACCCTTCCTCCCATGGCATCTCAGACCCCCGGTATGAACACATGAAGCAGCACTCAGGCTGAAATGGGTGCAGGGGCTGCAGCCTGAGCAGCGACTCTGCAGAACCCAGGGGGCCCTGGGGCATTAATGAGAACTCCCGCCTCCTCTCCCCTGGTTTTAGTCAGGGAAGTCGGCTGAGTCCCGGGCATTCTGAATGATGTCCCCATGGTCACAGGGCCCAGGCTCACTAGCTCTCCAGATACGATTCTGAAGCTAAGAATGGGTCCTAGAAAAGTCCTCAGAGTTCCCTTCCAACCCACGGGCCTCCCCCAGAGCGGCTATTTCCTGTCTGGCTGCCAGTGCAGGGCGAGGGACTGTACTCCGGGACTCTCTTCCAGCCTGGGTAGAGGTGTCTGGTCTCACTCACTCGGGACCATGGATGCATTTTAAGCTCTGCCTACATGAGGAATCCACCTCGGGGAACTCGTCGGGCCAGCTGTGCATTAGGGACCCTCTGAGGGACCACAACAGATTTTCTAGAGTGGGGCCCTGTGTTGTGAGAGGGCAGAGCTGGATTCCTCAGGAGCCACCAGCAAGCACTGAATCTCATAAAGGCAGGGACAGAGTTGTTTCAACACACAGAGCAATTAAGGGGACATGGGACCAGAAACTCTTTGCATGCAGGTAGGCTAAAAAACAAGTCATTTTGGGAATTTAGGGGTGTATGCAGGGCAAAGGAGAGAAACAGAGTGGCAATGTGGAAGGCAGGAGGACCGGAAAGGAGAGCGAGGGTGGAGTACAGGGGAAGGGGGGAGGAGGCAGAAGGGAAGAGAGGAAGACAGACACACAAAGAAAAAACGCGTACCTACCCATGGCTATGGCTTTATGCATCTGAATCCACTTGCTCACTAAGCAAAGGGCAGAGTTGGAGCTGCCTTCCTGAGACAGGTGGTAAAGGGTGGGACAGGGCACAGCCCTGTGGCAAGTGAAGGACTGGGAACCTAAACACAGTGGGCAGGGGTCTGTGTGCACCGGAGTTGGGGGGCGCGTGGTGGTGGCGACTGGTGCTGCCTGGGTGTGGGGCCGGGGTGCCAAGCCCACGAGGCCAAGACACGATGGTGTTTCACAGAGGAGACAGGAGAGCCGCAGGTGGATGGCATGGCTGTTTCAGTGCAGGTGGCTGAGGGAAGGGAGCCTCATCTCCCACACCCCCGCTCCCGGCTCTCTGATCACCTCTCTCGCACTCCAGGCTCTTCCACCCACACAGCCCTCACATTCGCTCAGTCACACGGGGCCTGCAGTAGTAGTGGGACCAGAGCGCTAGTCAGCTTCGAGCTGTGGGTCCAGAAAAAGCTGTGCTCAGCTGAGCTGAGGTGACGTCGGCCTGCTGGCTGATTCTCAGGGAGGACGTGGAAGTGGTGGAGTAAAGACAGGCCCTGAAATTCAGCACTCTTGTGCCTCAAGGCTTCTCACCGCAGCACTGCAGACGCCCCAAGGCTGCCGCCTCTTCACTGCCTCCAACGCGCAGCTGCGCCCACCGTCCAGCAGAGGGAAGTGTCCCGGGGCTGGGCCAGAGCTTCTCATCAATGTTTCACACAGAGGCAGCAGGGCTCATGGTGAAAAACTGGGGTTCAGGCAGCTGGCCCAGGTGAACAAGCTGTTTTGTGCTACTCACTGCTGTCCTCTGGGAGGGAGGGAGGTTTAACCCTTACACCCACGTGGGCTGCTTGTTCTGCTGTGGTTTTGGCCCAGGTTGCTGGTGGCCACTCCCGGCTATTGTCTAGGGGCTGCTTTAAGTGCGCCGCAAACACTGGGGGTATCCACTCTTCCCTGACTCCTGCTCTGCAGACATTTCAACAGGGACTGAGGCTATGCAGTTGACCTTCCATGTACGGCAATGATCCGTCTGCAGAAAAATGCATGTGTGCTCACCCACACGAACAAACTCCCACTCAATCCTGCAATACGATTCAAGGGGCTCCTGACGTCTCTGTAAGAACCTCTAACATAATATCTATAACCCAGACTATGCTGATTATTTTCCTCTGTACCAGAGACCGCTAAGCACATCGAGTTGCAACATTCCCTAAGTGAATAGGCAACAAGAAGGCCCTAGGCCACGGGCACTTCTCCACTAGAACTTAATGACAATAACAGTCATTACTAGTACAATCCAGGGGCCACAATGCTGGGCATTCTACTATCACATTCTTCAGAAGAAACGCTTTTCTAAAAGGCGTGCAGTGAGGTCTTTAACACCTCGGGATGGTCCAGCTCCTGTGACTGATGAAAGGTTGGAGAGGAGCAGGAGAGCGCCCAGCAGAAATAAAGTGGAATGCTAGAGAAAGTAGGAAGTATCCATAAAAATAACACCCATCCTCTTCCATGTACAGATGAGGGAACTAAGGCCCAGAGGATTAAAATACATACAGACTTCACTTTCCCAGCAATGCTGCCAAGGACAGGAAGACTCTGCCTGGTCTCCAGGGTGGAGCCCTGCCTGGCCCACTGGCCTGTCAACAGTGGTCTGTGAGCACAGTGTGCGGCACTGCCAAGAGTCATTGTTTGTACTGTACTGTCTGCTTTACATCACCCACTTGCCTTTGGAGATAATCAAGAAGTGCTTACCAGGTACCTGGCACAATTATGGTAACTGTTATTAATAAATACCCCTGGGTTTAGCCATTTTCTTCTCTGTGGTTCTCACAGTGTGGTACCCAGATCATCAGCATCACTTGAGAACACAACAGAACTGCAGAAACTCTAGGGATGGAGCCCAAGCACCTGCACTTAACAAGCCCCCAGGTGACAACAATGCACATGCTCCAGTTGAGAGACACTATCCTTGAGTAAGGTGTCCAAACACATGGCCAGAGGATCAGAAGAGAGGCTCCACAGTCAAATGGCTTGGGAGAAACACAGTCTCCCCGCAGCAGATCAGACACACCTGCACATAAAGGCTGACAAGTTCCAAAAGAAAGAAACCTGTTGAAGGGGATCAAACCCTGGGTTCTCCAAGTTTATCTGACCACAGAATCTTTTTATTATGTAACAGATAATAACAATTGTGGGTGTTGAGACATGTTGGTCTCGAAGGCCCCTTGTAGTGGTGGCATTTGGTGGATCCAATATAGCATCCGGGTGTCTAGTTCCTAACGACACTAATCAGAGCTGGAAGATCACCAGGCCAGCTGGCGCCCCAAATGTCCAATCTGTAAGGAGCGGTGAAGATCTGCTTCCCTTTCCTAATGCAGATGCTGTACCTGCATGCTCATTTTCCACCCCACACTCAGAGCCAAGCTCTCAGGCAGGCTGCTACCACCGCCCCTCAGACAGAGCCCTGAATGTCCTGCTGGCTCTTCCAACACGGAGCCGACTGCAGCAGCCACTCTCATAGGCTCATAGTCAACTGTGTCCCACTCACTCAAGAGGACTGTCGCTCTTGAGCATCACAAATAAAGCTGGTCAGGCCCCACAGCAAACTGCTGAAGGCTGACAGGCTAAGGGAGAGACTGCCAAGCCAGATGCATATACTCTGATCCAAGAAACTCCAAGCTCACCAGAATAGACTAGTGATGATTTGCAATACAATAAAGATGAGCCTCTTTATGGGACTAATTACAGGGTTCTTTTAAACAGCAACCCCCCCCCCC